TGAAGTAGGCTGGCTTCGTTGCCCCATGGAGTGTGGGATCTTAGTTGCCTAACTAGGGATTGAACCTGCGTCTCCTGCGTTGGAAGGCAGACTCTTAACCACCGGACCGTCAGAGAGGCCCTTGTCTATAGTCTAAATTTGAGCCTTTCACATAAAAGTGGGGGAACTCTCCTCTCCTCACTCAAGTACTCCGAGCGATCAAACGACAGCTGTTACGTTTGTTATTGTTTGTCCTGCTTTGCTCCCAAGAAGACGCGGAGGGGCCTCCCCTCCGGGCCCCGCCTACAGGCCTGGAGGGTGGGGCGGCCAAGGATGAGTTGGCAGCCTGGTCGCTGGCTCCATGGGGCCTCTCCAAACACCAGGGTTTGTTCAGGACATTTTCTCTGAGTCACTCCTGGTGATAAGCATAGGCAGGAGCCTCTAAGCAAGTCAGGTTTTAGATTTGTACCCTTGGAGGTTTGATTGCAGAATTTGCAAGTTCCTTAACAAAACTTTCGCAGCGCTGACAGAATGGTAGTCATTCTGGGAGCCAAAGTAGCAGAGACAACAATCAACAGAAGGCGGGACCCAGTGCAGAAGACTGAGGGACGCTTTCTTCTTTGGCTGCAGTTTTTCAACCAGTATTTATTGAGCCCCTTCAAAGCGCTGCGTCCCATGCTAAGGGCTGAGGAAGCAGTGGTGAGCAAACAGAGGCCTGGTCCTGAGGACGCCCACTGTGTAGTGGGGAGGGTTGGCAGGGGGTGGTGGGGCTGGGAACCCGGTCGGAAAAGCATAAAGCCACTGCAGTAGCCAGTGCTCTAAAGGGGAAGTGCATGCGTACGTGCTAAGTTGCTTCAGTTGTGTCCACCTCTGTGCGACCTTGCGGACTTGTGTGGCCCTTGCAATAAACCTTGCACTTGTGTGTGTTCAGCTGCTTCAGTTGTGTCTGACTCCTTGCGACTATGGCCCACCAGGCTCCTCTGTCCATGAGGATTCACCAGGTAAGAACACTGGAGTGGGTTGCCATGCCTCCTCCAGGGGATCTTCCTGATCCAGGGATCGAACCCACATCTGCTGCATCTCTTGTACTGCAGGTGGATTCTTTGCCGCTTAGCCACCAGGGAAGCTCCGGGCTGAACATTTCTCTGCTCCAAACCTTGACTTTTCAGTTCCTTTGGCCTCACTGTGTGTTGGGCAAAGGAACTCCGGTTGGATCACGGGGCTTCTGGGTTTCTTGGGGTCTTTATCTTCCTAGCAATGGGAAGTCTCTGAAAGGCAGGGAGAGGAGACTGAGAATGCCAGGATCATTTTGGCATTGGGAAAGATCACTCTGGCTGGAGAGCTAACTTTTCTGAAGGTAACTGCTGTGCAAATCCAGTAAGCAGGATCAGTATTCAGTTACTAGAAGCAGAAGCTGGCGCCTTGCATCTGGATCTGGGTTTGAACTCAGCTTCATGCTTCATTTCTGGCCTTGGGCAAGCTGGCACTTCATAGCCTCAGCAACCTCCTATATGAAATAGGGACAAAAATACCTCCTTTTGTTGTGAGGGTCAAGACAAGTAAATAAATAGCCTTGCCTGAGATACCACAAATTCTCCTTGGGACCTGAGAGAGTAGAAACCTACTTTGATACTATATGGGAAATTAAAAAAGCTAAAACTCAGCAGGTCATATGGACTTTCAGCTTCATTTGGAGAAAACGATTTGGATGTTACCTGAACTTCACCCTCCCATAGAACGACAGTCTGGAAATACCAACTCCTGATTCTTTAAACAACATCAACAACACAACAACCACTTATTAAACTGTTTGTACAAGGTGCTGCAGCCATGCCTTCTGATTTTGGCATTTATTAGATGCTAGACCATGGAGAGATGAACAACCAGAAAACATACAAACAAGTGAGCATTACAAATATAGAAACAAATAAGGAAGCCATTGGCTGTGAGTTGAATGCATTTGTTAGTGATGAGTAAGAAAGTGATGATTGGGTGTCACACTTAGTCACAGAGGGGTTGTGAATCCTTCTGTCTTGGTCAGTCCAGGACTGGACACTTCAGTACTCTCCTCTCCTAAACAGCCAAGGATCCAGCTGCCTTGGCGTTCCAGCTGATGTTAAGTCAACGGTCTTGTCAAAAAGACTCGGAAGTCAACTTTCTAAGGCTCCCACTCGCTCATGAAGAGACAATGTGATCACCAAGGAGGATGTGAAATATATCAAATACATTTTAAAATTCTGGAGTTTGTAATGACATGGAAAAAACATTGCTCACCATCACAAGGTGTTAGGAAACCAATATATTATTTTGAAAGTTTGTGAATAAACAGAAGGAATCAAATAGTCATCCTGCCTTTCTGACATGAACTGTGCTCAACAGTGGCTGAGGGCAAGTTTTGCTTTATAGAAAACATTTTCTTTCAGCAGATATGTGAAGAAGGAACAACAGAGTTAGAATATCATCATTTTGTAAACTGTAATGGATTAATAAATCTAGACACTCATCATCAAGGGCTATCATCAATGTCATAAAAAGACAGAAAGATATTCCCCTCCTCCTCCCCAGCCCATTATGTACCTCTTGACGGAAGAACACAAAGATAAAATTTGGCCAAAATTAAAAAAAAATTGTACTGGATACAAGTGAATTAGACCCAACAATGCATTTCTCAGGAAACAAAGGATAGAGAAAAATGTTAAATGACGTAGACAATGGTAAATGACATGACTAAGGGACCAGTTCCTAAAAGAAATTAATTGAAAGGAAAAAAGAAGATGGGGGGACTTCCTTGTGTTCCAGTGGTTAAGACTCTAAGCCTCCACTGCAGGGGTCAAAGGTCCAATTAAAGGTCAGGAAAGTAGGATTCTGCATGGTGCAGCCAATAAAATAACATAAAATTAAAAAAAATAAAAAGGAGATGGAGGGGTAATCATAGACTGAAAGAGATTTTACAGTATGAGACACATTACACAATTGCAAGGTGGGGATTCAAATAAACTGTAAAAATCTTTTTTTAAAATATTGATAATTGGAACTTTGAACTCTGATGGGATATATGAGGATTTTAAGGAATTATTAATTTTTCACATGTGCTAATAGCATTGTGAAAGTGTTACTCCCTCAGTCATGTCTTTTTTTGAACCCATGGACTGTAGTCCACCAGGCTCCTCTGTCCATGGAATTCTCCAGGCAAGAATACTTGAGTGGGTATCGATTCCCTTCTCCAGGTCATCTTCCTAAGCCAAGGATCGAACCTGGGTCTCCTGCACTGCAGGTGGATTCTTTACTGTCTGAGTAATGAGAGGAGCCTAAGTTAAAAGTCCATTGGCCAATCCAAAATCTGTCAATCCTTTTCTTTTACCATTAAACACATTGTTATTACTAGTATTATAGTAATACGATGTCTCTTTTGGTCAACTTGGAGATCTGGAGGCTAGCCTTGGCAATAGGAAACCTGGATTCTAATCTTACTTACCGGCTGAGGGACTCTGGACTCACTGGGTCTCCCCGGATCCTCCCTGAGGAAATGAGGGGCAAGGATGATTTTTAACATCCTGCTGGCTGTGGATTCCTGGAGTGATTAAGAGATTTGAGTTCTGCAGTCTGACTGTCTGGGCTAACCCATGTATATCCAAGGGTAAATTTACTTAATCCTCTAGAGTGTTGGCTTCCCAATTGTAAGAACCATAAGACTTACCCTTAAGAGATCTTGTGAAGATTAAGTGAGATACATACTGCACTCATTCCATAACTACTGAGCACCCAAGCTGCAGCTCTGGGACGGGCAGGGAGTGGAGCAGAGAAGAAAACACTGGGGTCCAGGTGGTTTGGAGCTTAAACACAGTACTAAAAAAGGAGTAGGATTTTATCTATTTACTTTATAACAGTGAGTCAAAGGTGGGGGTCTCTGGTAAGATTAAGGGGGTGAGCAGGGCTTGCACTCCCTTAATCTCTTCTAGAGTAGCAGGAACAGGATTTTAAATAGCCAGAACCAGGAAGAAAACACAGCACAGCCATTTAACTGAGGGCGACTTTCCTGAACGTGGACATATTCACGTGAAAATGTCGCAGATCCTCCGGGCTGCGATATTAAGTAGGTTGACTTGGCTTAGGGAAGTCGCCTGCAGTGGGTGCATGGATGACATAGCCTCCCCCGTGTAGCAGTGGTTCTCAGCCAGGTGGATTTCACCTCCCTCCACCATGACTCCACATTTAGCAACGTCAGGGAATTTTCGGTTGCCACAACAACACGGCATGGGGTGGGGAGGTCATTCTGGCATCTAGTGGGTCAAGGCCAGAGATGATGTTCAGTATCCTACACGGCACAGGACAGCCTCCACACCAAGAAATCATCTAGTCCAAAATGCCAACAGAGGCATAGCGGAGAAACCCTGCTATAGAGTGTACAGCCCCGGCAAGGGTTCCTGACTCAAGAGGGAGCTTGCTGTGTTCGGGATCCAAATGGAAATACCGTGTGGCTGAGTAGATTAGGATGAAGTGACAGAGGCAGCCTGGGCTAGACGGATGGAGAGCTGTTTAGGACACACGGTGAGGAACTCTGAATTATCCCCAAAGCAGTGGGCAGCCCTTGAATCCCTTCAGGCAGGGGCAGGAAGGCAACCCACGTAACGCGGTTTGCCTGCAAGTGCGGATGCAGTAACTCCTCCCGGCCAGCAGAGAGCGCCAGCTGACACTTGGCCTCCGGCCGCCCGGGGCGGGCCTCTTCTTGCCGTCCCCCCTTCCTCGTCTTTTCCCCTCAGGAGAAGTCGGGAAGGCGGCGGCGGCGGTTGTCCCACGACCGTCGGGCCGGTTCGCGTGGCCCGTCAACCCGCGCTCCGCAGCGTGTCCGCGTCGCGCTCAGCCCGGTCGAGTCGAGCCGCAGCGGCCCGGGTCCGGCGCGGGCGGCGCGCGCTGACGGAGGGCGGCGGCCGCGGCCAGGGCGGCCGGTGGGACCGCGGGGTCCCCGGCGCAGCGCCGCCCGGCTCCCGGCCCTGCCGGCCTCTTCGCTCGGCGCCGCGGCCATGGCGGCCAGCGCGAAGCGGAAACAGGAGGAGAAGCACCTGAAGATGCTGCGGGACATGACCGGCCTCCCGCACAACCGAAAGTGCTTCGACTGCGACCAGCGCGGCCCCACCTACGTGAACATGACGGTCGGCTCCTTCGTCTGTACCTCCTGCTCCGGCAGCCTGTGAGTGCGGGGCGGCCGGGCGGGCGGCCGGCCCTTCCTCGGGCGTGGGGAGCGGTTGGCCGGGCGGGGGGCCTCGCGGGGCTCGGGGCCATGGGCCGGGATGCGCTGGGCCCGCGGGGCCGGGGATGCACTTTCGGTTTTCGCTGGGCGAGGGTCCAGGCCCGGCGGGGATGGGGGTGGGGGTGGCTAGCCTTGGTGGCTGGGGCGTGGGCGGGGTCGGGACAGGGCGCCCGGGGTGAGCATCTCTGGTCCCCGCGGAGCCGGCGCCCGCCCGCCTCCCTCGGGCCTCCGCTCTCCCGGGCGCGCCGATCCAATGGAGCTGCAGTGGGAGGACGGGAGGAGGCTCGGAGGGCCTCGCGGGTCCTTTGTGTGCCCCGCCTCTCGGCCGGGGCGCGGCGGTCCCTAGCGAGGCACCTGCTGGGCCCCCGGTAGAGGGTTGGTGGGTAAGGCCGGCGTGGGAGAGAGAGCAGGGACGCTTAGTCTGTGTGTGGTTGTTTTTTTTTTTTCCCCCTCGGGTCCAGAGTTCCTAGGACACTGTGAGAAAGCCAGCACTTAGAAATAGTAGCGGCGTTAAAATGTTTTGATGGTAGAGATGGGAATCCCAAGGGACAAGTTGAGGGGAGGGGAGGGGGTCCGCGTTTAATTGCGGGAGAGGGAGACAGAGAAAGCAGGCGTGAGGTTAATGGGCCTTCAGCTTTATGGCCCAAAGAGAGTCTTGAAGAGTTGGAGTAAAGTTTAATGGAAGTAAGGGACTGACTAGGAGCTGTGTCATTGTCCATATGGTGGTGGTGGTATCTGTAAGATTTCTCCGTCAATACCCAAGTGTCCTGGCTGTACACAGAAGAGATGGAAAGACAGTATTGTTTCAGGAAAAGGGAGACTGCCGTCTTGAATTACTGGGATGGTTTGTATTTGTTCCTCTTTTCTTCATTAAGCTGCTTCTTTCTAGTAAGATTTTTGTTGCTGAGATTGAAGGTTTTTGTTTTTGATTTTTGGAGAGTTTGCAGTTGATTTTGGAACTAAGTTGCTTTTATACACTAAATTGTCTTGTAGTAAGTTACCAATGAAGAGGTAATTACTAAATGGTCTTAAAACCTTTGTTGTATCAAACATCTACTTAAGTTCTCTCTCTTGTTCCATTCTTTGAAATCAGTTATTTGGTCTCCCCCTTCCCCTCCGGAAACTTTGTAAGATTAATCTTGAGGCAAAGTGTATAATATGTGAGAAAACTTGATTTTTTTTTTTGAAACGTAAGTAATGTATGATTTTTCGTCTTCCTAAGTTGGGCAAAGATGAATCATTAGTCTTCCATGATGATTATTTCTTTAACATATTTATTGGGTGCCTACTAGTTTCTCTGTAAAGCCTTGGGGAGTGCTGATGAATAGAGCAAAGTCTTTTGTTCTCTTGGTGCTTACATTCTTATTCTTGTTGGGGAGATGGTAACATAGTGATCAAATGAGAAAAATGTCAGGGGCAAGAGTACACTGAAATAGTAAGATAGGAGGAGAGACCTTCTCTGAGAAGTCACTTTTAGATTGTAGGATCAAGAAAGCACTCTGAGAAGTTGATAATTAGTGATGTTATTGAATTACAACAAAATCCTAGAGCTGGGTAGTGTTTAGGAGATAGTCTGGTTCATTCTTTTCATTTACAAATAAAAACTTAGTTTGTGGGCAACTTTGGTTTTAAAACAACTTAGGCTATAGTCCAGTTTGTTTTGAGGGTAGTACTTTTTGCATAGTAAGTATGCTGTGTTTTTACTTAACACAAGATCCTTTAATACATTTAAAGTATTTGATTTGAAAAAATGTTCAGTCTCATCACTTTATGGCAAATAAATGGGGAAAAACAGGAAACACTGGCAGATTTTATTTTCTTGGACTCCAGAATCACTGCGAACAGTGACTGCAGCCATAAAATTAAAAGATGCTTGCCCCTTGGAAGAAAAGCTATGACAAACCTAGACAGCGTATAAAAAAACAGAGACATCTCTTTGCAGACCAAGGTCCGTATAGTAAAAGCTATGGTTTTCCCAGTAGTCATATAGGCATGGAGAGTTGGACCATAAAAAATTGATGCTTTATGAAGCATTGATGAAGACTTGATGCTTTCAAATTGTGGTGCTGGAGAAGACTCTTGACAGCCCCTTGTACAGCAGGAAGATCAGACTAGTCCATCCTAAAGTATATCAACCCTGAATATTCATTGGCAGGACTGTTGCTGAAGCCCTAATAACTTGGCCACCTAATGCCAAGAGCCAGCTCATTCCCTGATGCTGGGAAAGATTGAGGGCAGCAGAAGGGGACAACAGAGAATGTGAGATACGGACTCAATGGACATGAGTTTGAGCAAACTCCAGGAGATAGTGAAGGATAGGGAAGCCTGGTGTGCTGCAGTCCACAGGATCAGAGTCAGACATGACTTAGTGACTGAACAACAACAATGTATATATTTACTCTTCTGGATTTCTGACTTTTCTGTTTATCTGTTTATAAGTATGAATTTATTGCTGCAAATGTGTAATATGAAGAATTATTTACAGGTTTCTTTCTAGAGTGTTTGCATTTCAGAAACATTATATATGAGAGGTTATCTCATTATATATGCCAATTATTCACTTTAATGGAATTTTTAATGTGTAACAGATAGGACTCTGTGTCTGTTTAGTTGTAAATCTGCAAATATTTATTACTTGACCTGTTTCGTATACTGTGGGAGGCACTGGTCCTGTTGGGATCCCACTGTATTTCAGGTGCTTGCATTCCCAGTATGGAAACAGCTACAGTATAGTAGTATTTCATTTCTTTGAATGAGCTATCCCTGAAATATGTAGATGAATAGGAAAAGCCTCACAGAAGACTTGATGGCTGAGCCTTTGGCCTCACCTTTAAAGATGAGAGCCACATGGCAGTGGCTTCATGGAGTGAAAGAACCAGTACTAATGCTTAGGAGCTGGGTAAGCTTGGGTTTGAATCCTGGCTCCACTTGTTAGCTGTGTGAATGAGAATGTCACTTGCCTCTAAATTTTCTCATGTTTGAAAAGGCAAGGATGAGGTTTACCTTACACATTTTGGATGTAGGTTAGTTTTCAATATTAGAGATACTGTATGTCTGACATCTCCCATGACTCCTGGGATATACATTACTGATAGCTGCCCAGTAGGTGAGAGGCATTATTGACGAAGGGGACAGGATACTCCATGAGCAGGGAACGATATCTGAAAGATGATAAAATGAGAAGCACCTTTATAAGAAAATTTATCAGTTTGGATTCTTTAGATTTAACTCGGTGTGACTGAAGTTGGTTTAAAAATATGAGGGGAATGTATTGTTTGTCTTTAAGTGAGATTTTATCCTCTGGTTTAAGGATGTTGCCTAGATTTCCCTCCTTCAAAGATGGCTGCTCCCAGCTGCCTTAATTTATAACACTGTTACAACTCTACCAGAAATTCTACAATTCATTCTGGATTAGGTTAGGTCACTTGATTGCATAGAAGCAGTACCCTCATTGGATACGTTGTACGGTGGTGTTATTGGAATAACAAGGATCCCAAATAGAATTCCCAAATCAGAAATCTGGGATCCTTGTGAAGGAAAGACTGGATTACAGATCAAACGTCTACTCAAATTCTGAGAGAAAATAATTCCTGAGGATTTTTTCTTTGAAAAGCAATAATGTAGGAAAATACTTCAAGAATAATAGCTACTGAGTTTAATGATAATTATATCTTTGATACTTAGATGACATGCTGTAATGGAAGGAATATGAATTATGGAGTCAGATTTTGACTCTACTACTAGCTTTGTGACTTGAAAGTGAAAGTTGCTCAGTTGTGTCCAACTCTTTGTGAGCCCATGGACTGAATATACAGTCCATGGAATTTTCCAGGTCAGAATACTGGAGTGGGTAGCCTTTCCCTTCTCCAGGAGATCTTCCCAACCCAGGGATCGAACCCAGGTGTCCTGCATTGCAGGCAGATTCTTTACCAGCTGAGCCACAAGGGAAGCCCAAGAATACTGGAGTGGGTAGCCTATCCCTTCTCCAGCGGATCTTCCTGACCCAAGAATCAAACTGGGGGTCTCCTGCATTGCAGGTGGATTCTTTACCAACTGAGCTATTAGGAAAGCCTAGCTTTGTGACTTAGGTCAAAGTATTAAGCAAAGGCAAAGTATTGAGCAAGATCACTATGTGTGGGTTGGCCTGGATTCATCCCCTCAGCTTCTTTATTTGTGATAAGAGGGTGATAAGATAGAGCTTAAGGTTGTTCAGAGGATTAAATGGTACACTTCATTGAATATTAATCGAGCATATATCATTTTTGAGCATGGGGCTAAGCAGGGAATATACATACATGAATTGAGGCATGTTAGCTGCCTTTCAGAAACCTTGATGTGCCTAGAAAATGCTGATAACACAATAAATGGTATCTGCTATTATGAATTTTAAGATAGTCACATGCCTTTTTATTAATTATTTAGCAATATCTTTGTTAAATAAATTGAACAAGTATCTTGTTAATATTATTAGACTCAGAGCTAATTTTTTATTTCCTGTGGTTTTTTTTTTCTCAGTTGATTGCACTCTGTGTTTGTATGATACTTATTTAAAATATGTAACTGAATTAAGATTGTGAAACTTTAAAATAGACTTCAAATTTAGGTATATTAAACTGTCACTGAGGTAGAAAGGGGGTGTTCTAACAGATTGGTTTGTCTTTCTTCCTGCTTCTATCTGTGGAACTATTTAGACTTATAAATGGCACTCCATTATAGCCAACATAAAGTATCACCTTCATGTTAATGAACTTATAGTTGATATAAAGACTAGGTTTAGACCAAATTATCTATTTTGTGGAGATTGTTAGCATTAATTAATTGGTAAATAATATAAGAATTGTTCTATCCTTAAAAAATGATTGATTTACTTTTCAGAGAAAGTTTAGATAAAAATAAAAACCAACATTTGAGAAACATCTAGTCCAGCTGCTTAATACCAG